CCCCAGCCTGCAGCCCCGACTCCCCCACAGGATGAGTGTGCAGAGCCATGGGGCAGCTCGGCCAGCGGCACAGCCACCACGGGGGCTGGATCCCACCCAGGCTGTCCTGCATCCTCACCTCCCGCTCCCGCTCATTCTTGGTGAGGTGCATTTGCTTGAGGATCTGGGAGCGCTGCTCCATCACTAGAGTCTTCTCATAGGTGTAGGCGGAGATGTCGCTTTCGTGCTGCGGGGGGGGCACAGGAGAAACCGTGGGCCAGGGTGAGCTACACCCACTGGTCCCAGCCTGGCCCTGCATGTCCCTGGGGACCTCCGTGTCCCCATGGTGCTGCATGTCCCCGTGGTGGGATGTCCCCCCCCCGCCGTGGCAGGATCTGTCTGGCTCTCCCGCGCGCAGCATCCCAGACTGCAGCACACCCCCCCGTCCCAGCACTCACCATCTCCACCACCTCCACCTCCGCGGTGATGCGCAGGTGGTACAAGAACGTGGTCAGGTCCTTCTTCATCTGGATGCTGTTGTCGTCCATCTGCGCCACTGTGAAGATACGCATCTTGCACTTGCGCCAGACCTGTGAGGGAGGGAGGCATGGGCACGGCTCCGCAGGGACGGCCTCAGCCCCTTGCCCCATGACGTGGGGCCCAAGCTACCTTGTGGTGCCGCAGGAGGAAGGGCAGCAGCATGAGCATCCCCCCATCGTGGACGATCCACCAGACGTCGATGTGGCCCTCTGAGAACCGCTCCTGGTTGCCCGGGAACATGGCGACATTCTTGGCCACCAGCAAGGCCAGGTTCCCAGCTGTGGTCTCTCGCACCAGCTCTGGGAGGGGAAGGGCCACGTCATCCGGGGCGGTTCACAGGGCCCCCCGCAACCCAGCAGCACCTACCCTCCGCGGTGCCTACCAATGAAGTTCCTCCAGGTCTGGTGGTCCTCCTTCTGGCGCCAGCTGCGGGGCCAGCCCACCAGCACCGTGTTGTGCTGCAGCCCCCCCAGCCCGCTGGACTGGATGAGGTGGGACATGCCATCCCGCAGGTTGGAGGAGATCACCACCTGGCAAAAGCCCTTCACCTTCTCCGCTTCCATCAGGCGGCGGATTGACTGGCGGCAGG